AAAAAAAAAAAAAAAGATATGACTGTTACCAAGTCATTGTTTCTTACACCCAAGTTAATTCACGTAATTTTATAGCTTTTACAAACTGCCCTTTCAAAGCCCTGGGTAACTCCTTTTATTGATTGTTTCAGGAAAGGGTCACCAAGCTTGCACCACGTCCCCAGACAGAAGAGGATCTATCTGCTCTGTTTGAAGCTTCAATGAAACTGTATTAATTGTCATTTTAACTGAAAGAATTACCACTGGCTGTCTTCGTTCTGGAAACAGAAGATATCTAATTACAGCTTTGTTTTTTCATCTCCACACAATTTAAATTGCTACCAATTTGAATGTGATATTAATGTATCCTGCAGAATATTCCCTGATGCTCAAAGTCAAGTTACTTTCATAAAACAGGCTGGACAAATGCCCACTATGTCAGCTTGTCAGTTTCCTGGGATAGACTTTAGACCGTAGCATTTCTGCCCCAGGCCCCACAGAATACTCTGCCCTTCCTCCAGGCAGCAAATGGGCAAAACCTCAGTATCCTTAAAAGGTGTAAGTCTACATACATATCCTATGGTGCATAACTAGCTGCATGTCTAGAAATTTATCTTATAGAAATACTAGCACAAGTGTGTAAAGAAATACAGCAAGGGTGTTTCTGGCAACACTTTTTTATCATAATGAAAAATTTTAAACAACCTAAATATTTATTGATATTGATATTCATAGATAAGTAAATAATAGTATATCAAAAATGGAATATTGCAGTGCTATTATAATAATAAAGATGAAGTAGATCTGTTGGAAATATGTCTATAATAAACTGTTAAGTTGACAAAAAGCAAGTTGCAGAATAATTATATTTTAGTATGGTCTTGTTTTTACTTCTTTCATATATAAACTTAAGCCTACATACATATTGAAAAGAAAAGTACACATCAAAATATTAAAAGTTATCACTGGAGAAATGGAACGAGGGGTGTAAAGAATTAAGAGAAAATGTTCACTTTGTATTTTATACTTTCACTTTTTATTTTATTTTGTGTGGGTTGGTTAGAACAAGTGTATATTACTTTTCTAATTTTAAAAAAGGGAAGGGGAAAGAAAGAAAAACATTATTTTAATCTTGAGGTCAGATTCATTTTATTAAAATACCAGTAAATAATATGTAAACAGTAAAAACAAATCCAATGGGGTAAATTATTAGAGACTAATTCTCTGGTGAATAAATTGTTCTTTGGGGGAAAAACACTAACATCCCACATGGAAATTTACTCTTTTGAAAAATGTTTCTAGTGCTTAGAATAAATTAATTTAAAAGGAGGTGTTTTGTCGTTTACAGATTTCAGCCTCGCCAATAGAATCTAAGTAGCTTGATAACCTTTCTCCCTGCTGTTTCTAGACCATAGAAACCGCTATAGTTCATTTTCTCTCACAAAGATTATTACTCGTGTTCACCTCCTCAAGCTTTGATAGTATAAATCTCAGTGTACTTGCAGTTTTACTCACATTTTAAATCAAATCAAAGTGGGGTATTTTTGATTTTTTTTATTTTTACATATACATGTGACTATTAGGTTTCCACTTTTTGCCTTCACAAAATTAAAAAGTCTTAAAAGTTAACAACAATAACAATGTTTAAGATAAGGACTAGAAACAAAAAGCTCGTGAAGAATGAATGAAGATAAATACATTCAGAAAAGAAATCAGACGATTGCTGCAATGAAATATTAAGCAGGCTCGGCGCCTGTGGCTCAAGTGGCTAAGGCACCAGCCATGTACACCCAAGGTGGTGGGTTCGAATCCAGCCCGGGCCTGCCAAACAACAATGACGGCTGCAACCAAAAAATAGCCGGGCGTTGTGGTGGGCGCCTGTGG